GTGCTACTCGCCTTCCAGGGTGGGGACCGCGTGATCCTCACTGTGCCTGGTTGGAGACACTACAAGATATGGCTGCCAACCGATGTCAGTGGCGTTTTTGTTGTCAGTTTCTATCCAGATTGCCTGAGTGAATGTCTGGAGGTGTAGGCACCTCGGAATGATTGTGTTAAGCTAGCACTAAGTCCCTGCCCCGTCCACCTTTATTCTTTTCTTTACAATAAGGCTTTCAAATAAGTCATGGTTGTACAGCAGTGAAGCATTGGTGTTGAGCACTGATGTCATGCTGTCGATGATGATGATGATGATGACGAGCAGACTTTTTGCCATTCAAATCATCTTTTGATGTAGATTTTCTGGTGTACCTGGATTGTAGTGATTTGATGACAAGATTTAGCCCATAGCGCATATATAACGGCCCCTGTCACAAATGAAACGGCTTCTCAGTTTACGGGACCCGAGTATCATGTTTAATGGCATGTCTTTCTGTTCGGACAGGGGATGACAGGATTACAGTCTTCCGCTTTTTTCGTGCCTGCCTTCAGACTTTCTCATTCTTCATCTTCCTAGCTAACAGTCAGTGCTGACTCACCGTCTTGTATAAAAAGGGTGCCCACTTATTCGATGCACCCTTCACCCCAAAACGCTCCGTGATAAACTTTCCCGTCTGGTCAGTTCGGAGATGCCAAACCGTCAAAACGCCTGGGTATGTTTTAATTACAAATGTAACAAGCCTACACTTTTTGCCGCTTCCAATAGCAACCTGCCGAAGCGGTCTCCAACCTACCACGAGCGTGCACTCTGTCGACACTGTTTGATCTTATGATGTACGAATCAAACGCACTCTTTCAGTGCTCTATGATCGAGGCATTCCTGCACACATATCGATTGTTTGTATCGATGGAAGAACTGCGGAAAATGGTTGAGAAGAAGTGAGTTTCTTCTTTAATGTGTCCGATACAGACTACCTAATCCATCTTGTTAATTTCAGGCTCCTAGCTACTTGTGTATCAGAAGACAAAGAAGTGAACCAAAAGCTATTTGCTCTAAAGTACGTCTGTGTTGATCGGTTTATACTTATAGTGTGTATATTAGGTAACATAGGGTTACGCTCTATCGTTCGTTTGTTAATTAAGTTGTGCAGTTAGATTACAACGTAATATACCAGCTCAGAGAACAAATCACCGATTGGGTGTGAAACATTAGCGAGATGGCCCAAGTAGGTAGAGCGCGAATTTACTGACTGGAAGGTCCGTGGTTCGAACCCGACCTCCGCCTCTCGACTTCCCCTGTCTAGGCTTGGGCAACCTGACAGTATCCCAGCCCTCGTGCAACCTTCGGGTGGCATGGCAGTTAGGCACCGAAAGGGTGCTACAGTATTCTCTGAACGGGCAGCCTCACAGAGACCAGTTTCGGTGGGTCCCCTGGGACTTATATTTTAGTACCATGAAGACATGCCTTCTCGCATTACGGTCCACCTTCTGATTTAGATTCTGTTCAAACTCTTCCCCTAGTGAGACGTTTACGTTCTCCTAAAAGGCACCCGTTCCAAGTTTCCCAGACGATTCTGGGGCGGCAAAAGCAGAACAGTGGTGTAACTGTCAAAAGATTGTCACAAAGTGATTATCACTCGAAAAAACGTTATGCTCAATTCCTAGTAATCTGCAGACGAGGACTGCTGAACGAAGCGTGTAGAAGCGCCCTACAATTAGCTTTCCCTTGCGACATGAGGTGCATAGATCTGTGAATAGTTTGTTCGGCTGTGAATAAGAATAGTCAAATAGACGCAACAACAAGTGCTTGAATATTCCCATGGTTTGAAAAATAACACAGTGACGAACATTAATGTTTTCGGGATCTCGTCATCAGGTCAGTACATATCTAATGGTTAAAATAAGAGCGAAAAATGAAATACGCTACGAAGATTGGTTAGTGAAATGCAAAAACGTGGAGACACGAACGATTGGTTTTCTGCGCCTCCCCCCATTTCGCATCTAGTTGAATGCTGTGAGACAGTGAAGAGGGCTGTTGAGTGACTTGGCCGGTTGATTCGTGTCACACGACCAAGGCAGACTCAGCGTTCGTACGAAACGTTTTTGACAGCACAGTACCGGGTTTCGCAGGCGTATAGCGACTGCCTCGGCCGTTGTCAAGCCACGTCGTTGAATAGATACTGGTAGTCGATTTGGCACGCGCTAAATGATTTGAAATGACTCATTTGGCATAACTACGTGCCCGGTGTCAATTAGGTGGGATGCGATTGAGCTCCTGGCTGAACTGTTGAGGTTAGTGGTATTCCGGTAAGAAAGGTGCTCACGTATTCTCTTAGAAAGTTGCCGTGTCGTGCGCCCAACATACTCCGCCGAACAACACCAGGAGAAAGAATATACAACCATGTTCTGGATGAGGACTGGCATCTTGTCTTTGAGGTTTAAGTTGAGCAAAGGGTTTGTTGTGAACCAAGACCGCAGAGTTCCAGCCGGAAACGTGCGTTGAGACAAGCGGCGATTGACTATGTCCGCCAACAGGTCGCCTTTATACGGTAGACTCAAGTATATTGGCTTCTTTCCAACGGTCGTGATAGGCGGTTGGATAGGGCGGTCGGACATATTCTTGGTTATAAACCTCTCCGGATAACCATTGGCTCGGAGCACGTTAGCAATGTGCTGCAGTTCGGAGTCCAGTGTATCAGCAGAGCAAATACGTTTTGCTCG